TGCGTTACTATTCCGCATATTTTCTATTTTATTAATTACAATTTATACGCGTTTATAATTTTTGAAAACATCGAGATTTGAACCTGAGATCCCTAGAACTGCAGACTTGTACGCTAACGCTGAGCTAATGATACTTTGTACATAGGACTTATTTTTTCTATTATATATTCTATATCTCTTGTATTTAAACAAATACTAACAGCCAACTTTAACAGCGGCGAGATATGACCGCCTCAACGCTATTCAACAGTATTCAGCCAAACGGATACGCGTTTATTCGCCAATTTTTAAAAATTAATATCTCGTTAACGATTGCGAATTTTGCAAAATGATATAGAGGACTTTTCTGTTTAGTTTAATCTGCTCTAGCAGCTCACAAGATTTGATATGGTTATTACCGGACACCCTGTATGTAATAATTTAATTTTAAACCGATCGAGCAATCTGGACTGCGTTCGGAGAAATATTTTTGTTTTATATTATTTATATAGTGTTTAAAAATATAGCTGTAAAATAAAAATAAAATGACACAAAAAGCGCTAATAGCATCTCTTTAAACGTATTTCTGATGCTGAAAATTAGAATAAATTTATCATATTTATCTTTTATATGTATCTTTTATAGTAGTATTTATTAAATTGCTGAAAGATTACAATTGTTCCATCTATGTTATGTATTTTGAGTTACGTGTGAGTTCCATTACATTTTTAAGTAATTGTTATGTATTATATACGTAACAAAGAAATATATCTTTGTTCTTCTAAAGTGCCCTCAAAATTATATTGCATTTACATATCATCTCTATAACTATAAAATATATCATTGTTCTTTCCATGTGCTCCCTTAGTTATATTACAGTTACGTATTGGTTTGCTGGGAATAGTTGCAAGCGCTTCATCTATTCGATCATTCAGTTCCTCAACAGTATTTATAGGCATGCGATATACATATTCTTTTATTGTCTTCCATAAGAAAAAATCGAGCGGAGTTAGATCTGGTGACCTCGCTGGCCACGCTCGAGGACCTCCGCGGCCAATCCACCTATCGGGGTACATTCTGTTTAAAGTTTGTCGTGTGCATCTTGCATAGTGTGAAGGTGCTCCATCGTGCTGAAACCACATAACTCGTACGCTCCTCCAGTGGTATAGTCTCAAGTAAATCGGG